TCTCATTCGTTTATTTTCATCTATTCCGTTACGTCCGTGAAATAAGGTGTCACGGATATAATAATGCTCATAATGGGGGATATAAAATCTAAGAGGATATTAATTTCTTCCATAATTCGCCCATTAATTTTACTGAATTATGTCTTTTGTATACATTTTGAATTGAATAGTTGTTTAATATTATCGCTACACATACTAACAAGAACGCGAGACTAAATCTTTCATACATAAAATTACCATTTATTCACCTCCGGTCTTCGTCAGTTAATACCGGCGATTGTGTGTGTGGCTTTGGTCGTTTTCTCCAAACCTAGACTTTTCTATTCGCGACGGCGTGAGAATCTACCTAGTCATCCGGTTGTACCACATGTGTACATGCTAAACGGAGTCGACGACTATTTTATTTGTCGGGGGTAACCACTGATACCCAGCTTAAGGTTCGAATCTACACCTGGTGCCTAGGAGGGCAGCTTCCAGTCCATATGGCTGATACACCTGGTGTTTTTGATGCTCTGGTATGACAATGAGTACAAAGTCACTTTGGGTGGGGGTGAGCCCAGTTAATATTGGGGTTTCATCGCAGATCAAAATTCGTCCAGAGTGACGGTCCATTATCAACATTAAATTCGATTCTAGCCATCTGGTATTTTCTTGCCTGAATCGTGTAGTACATTTGGATTTTCTAACGAAATTTAAGCGCGGTGTCAGCAAAAAATCATCTTTATTAACCCATTAACTGACAAATTTTTAATACGCATTTTTGACCCACACAGGTGTCTTAGGAGTTTATTTATTCCTTATGCTTAATTTCAGTAGTTACCATTTTTGTTTTTATAGAAACTAGAACATCAAATATATATGTGTATAAAACATCAAAAAATAATATTCATTAGAAATAATTAAAAAAATACTTTTCAAAATAGTCATTATTTTTCTACTCGTGAAATGTAAAATTACGACAGAAAGTGTCTTCTTGCAGCTAATAATAAAAACTTTAAAGGCTAAGTGTTGTAAAATATACCTCTGCAAATGCAATGTATGTTACATACATTGCATTTGCAGAGGTATGCAATTCAATGTAAATACAAGGAATAACATGTAGTGAGCTTAATTTTAACAGATCCCCAAATGGGGCTCATGGCAGTTAATCGGTTAATAATCACGACAAAAAGTTGTAGCGGTTTTCGTCGTGGAAACTGACCTCAGTAAGCCGAGTTCAAATTCCACCCAAACTTGTTTGTGTTCACTTCGCACTATTAGCCTCGGAAAAGGTATCAATCCAGCTATTGTTTCTATAGCTATACGGGAAGTATCAGAAAAAAAAAAACTGGGCTTATTAGACTTGGTAAAGCAATTTGTTCAGTAATAAGACAACTGATTTCAAACCGTACGTGAAGTGGTCGTCTTCGTAAAGCTTCCTTGTTCTAGATACATCCATTACTGCTGCTACAGATAAATTACATGTTGTACCCCAAATAACCTACGAGGGGTTATGGGGATACATGAATGTAAGTGACAATATCCACACGTAAGAAAAAATAAGGAACTATTGCACCCATAAAAGATTACTTAGCGATTTGAAATATATGTTTGATTTATTATAACTTAGTCTAATACAAATCTGCAATTGTTAGATATCAAGTAATTTTGTATTTGTTAATGCCGTGTCCGTTAAGGAGATCATGGCTTTCTACAGATTCCATCTCATTGATATCTGAGGATGTCATGATTTCTTAGGAAAGTGAGTGGAGTTGTTTCCCGTTGTCTTCTCTATTGTTTTGAATTAAGATATATCATTCTCTTAAAGTGATTGTGACTCATATTTAGATATCCCTCTGTACCGTGCTTTTTAACTCTTCCTTCTCCTGCTGGGAGGAAGAAGAGTGATGGATTCATGCTTCTTTCTTTTTTTTTTCTCCCAAAGGTATTAAAAGAGCGAAAGTGAACCCAACAGAGTTGGTTGAAATTTGAACTCGGCTTGCTGGTACTAGAATTCGTACATAAAATCGTTTCGCTATCCGTTAAGTGATGACCGCTTGAAACTAAACTGCACCCTGCACAAACATGCAATATGGAGAGTAACTTGCCAGAATTGAACACACGATGTTTAACTGTTTTCAAGACTTGCACAACAACTGAAATGCAAAGTTTGTAGTGATACAGTCTTTCTCCAAACAGACAAGTATTCAGGACAATACAAATCATCCCTAAGCCAGGGAAAAACATTTTATTCGAGCTTTTGTGTGTGTGTATATGGGGGGGGGGTCATTCTCTTTCACTTCCAGCAATCCCTTGCATCTTAGTAACATCATCACTATGCTTGATTTAAAAAGATTAAAAAATTAAAATAACAAAAAGTAATAAAATAAAAAAAACAAGAGAAATATAGAAATAAAATTAAATAAAAATAACAAGAGAATATCAAAATAATAAAAATAAAATAAAAATTATAAAACTAAAAATAATAATAATAAATTAAAAACACAATCAAAATAATAAAAGCAAAATAAAAAAATACAAATAAAACATAAATTAAAAATAATAAAAAAAAAATGAAAGTAAATTAAAACCAAATAAAAAAATAAAATAAAAATGGTAAATATATGATCTAAAAATAAAAATTATACACACAAAAAATAAAAATGAAAGTAATTTAAAAACAAAATAAAAATAATAAAAATAAAATACAAATAATAAAAACAAAATGAAAATAATAAAAATAAAATACAAATAATAAAAACAAAATAAAAATGATCAAAATAAAAAAATAGGTACTTTTGTTTCAAAAATCGATTGACAAGTTGCTTCGTCTATGTTACTATGAAATCGCATGGAGCGTTTAATTTGTTATATTGCGTGTGATATTTTCATTCGGCTGCTAACGAAAGCAATTGAAAGAATTAACGTTGTTTCGTTTTGGTTTTTATGATCTCGTTTACTGGTTTTTTATGGTAACTACGAAAATATGGCTGCAAACATTACATGTATTCATGTAATAGCCAATAAGAAACGGACAAAGCTAAACCGAGACACACAACTCCGCATCAAATATAGACGAACAAATAATCATTTAAATCCCATAGAAATCGGATCCATTTTAAAAGCGAGGCGCTTACCGTAGAGTAGTGCTTTTAAGCCCCGTGTAAATTGTTCAAAAATTGGATGTAAATAGTTTTTCGTTTAGTAACGAACCATTTTGGAATACTTATTGATGTTTTTTCTTGCGATTTCAATGAGGTATATCATTGTCGGCCTCATTTACAGATGCTGTTGTCGGAGTTAACTCCTCCTTAATTTCCTAACTGTCCAAATTGTTCCTAGGGGACGCTATCCCTAAATTATATATATATACTTGAGAATACCCCCCTCTCTCTCTCTCTCTCTCTGCGAACTGTGACCATGTAAGCTCTCGCACTTGTGGGAAGACGCCATGAGCTTTACAGACACACGCACACACATACGAACATTCACTGACGCATTTCTTGGAACACAAATTTTACACAATTATTTGTTACACATAAACATTATTGTTTTTGCAATTTGTATCTGTTTGTTAATATACATATAATTGTTTATATATGTGTGTGTGTGTGTGTGTGTGTGTGTGTGTGTTTGTGTGTGTGTGTGTGTCGGTCTTAGTTGTTTTCTTTTACATTTCTTCTGTGTGGACTCACCTTGAGTCCGCCATGTTTGTCGTGGACTTTCAACTGATTCCTAAAAGTATTAGGTTGGTGCAAAAATAATGTCGTTTTTTGACGTTCAACTTAACGTCAAAAAACGACATTATTTTTGCCCCAACCTAATAATTCACCGAAATTCGTTATTATCAAGAAATTCTTAATTTTAAACCGAATAAATGGATTAAGATTAAATTAACATTTACTTCCTTTTGCATTACAAAGCTCTCACTTTTTGTATACATTTTATTTGTGTGTGTGTGTGTGTTATTTTTTTTTTTTTGTTTGTTTTTTTTTTTTGAACTGAACTTTTTATTTCTTTTTTATTTTTATTTCTCGTTCCGCAGACCATGTCTCGGGATGTCACGTCATGTTTTTTTTCTCTTCATACTTCTCAGTTATGCCACCCTGATTCCGCCAAGTTTAGTTGAATAAAGTCTTGATTCGGGAAGTTGGTGGCATAATTATTGCAAGTACAGACTTGGCCTAAGTAGACAGGGAGCGAGCAATAACTGAGGCTGATATTCCGAGACGTGGACAGCGGAAGAGAGAACTATCTACACCGGTTGATGGAAACAAAAGCTCAGTTCGAATTTCCCTGACGGTTTTTGGGATTGACTTGCACCTGAAGAAGGCTGGAAAACGGAAAGATCGAAATGACCCTAACAGCCCGAAAGAAAATAATGATAACTGAAAATTCAGGCTGTATGCTTTCTAATAGGGATAATTTACGGCGACTGCGCTGTTGTCATCCAACGGAGAATTTGAAGCAATATAATCTTACCTTAAAAAAACGATGACAATGTAACAGATTTATTTTTTTGTACGATCACCGAAGTTAAGCAACGTCGAGCCTGGCCAGTACTTACATGGGTGACGGCTTGGGAATGATAAGTACTGTAAGCTTGAACATTCGGTTGGTGTACGAGATAATGGTCTGGAGTTGCAAATCTAGTTGTGCTCGTTATATACGCTTATTCGCATATACCCTTGAGAACGGGAAAATCCACCTCCCAGCTATGGGTTAATTAGTAATTCTTGTATAATTAAAACCATTATTATCTTAAAAATAATAAATAAATAAAATTACATATAAAAAATTTAGATTTTGCTATACAAAAACAATCAGCAGCTAATTACCGAAAAATTTGTTGGTCAAGAATATGGATTCTTTTCTACTCTTTTAGTCTCGTAGACTCTACTGAAACGTATGGAGCCAGACTTCTTAACAACACTAGACATCGCTTCTGTTGTTCCCAAGTAAGGTTTTATGGGATGAAGTACCTTGCCCCATATCCAACCAGTTTTGTACTAGGTTTTCGCTTACAGTACCCGGCATATTCAAGTAGTCCCCCATTTAAGTACTTACCAGGCTAAACATTGCTTAACTTCAGCGATCAAACGAGAACCGGTGTTTCAACGTGATTTGACCTTAAGCCTACGTATTCTTTTCTGAAAGCAAAAACGCTTTAATTGGAGCCAACGTGCCGGCATACAGGGGGGAGATTGTACACCGAAGTCTCTAGTTGGGCATAAAAGTCTCACGATCACGGTCACGAACCCCGTAACTCTTTCGTGTCATAGGGTCACCACACGTACAGTTGTTGCAGTAGAAGTGCTGTGTCTTGGGCAAGATAGTCTGACGAGGCCCACCCCTGTCCATGCTGGTCTGAATTCAGTTTTCCTTGTGTACCGGTTGCTGCCCAAGGCTATGGAACAGTCTGCCCTGCTATTTCCCCGTAGATAGGGGACGGAGAAGGGATGGGTTCATGCCTTTAATAAGTGAATGTAATGAAACTCGAATTCGAACTCGGCTCTCCGATTCATCAACGAAGTCCATTACTCCACCGGACTTCGTAAAAGTTTAAGGAGATTAAAAAAAATTGAGTTGAACACTGTTCAGAAGAATACTCTTCTAAAAAATGTTCTCCTTACACAGCGGTAAATATTGTAACTAATCAACCACAATTACCTTGCATACGGAAAACTATTAAATTAAAGAATAAAAGTAATCCCGAAAAATATGTTTCCCGGTATATTTTTTCTGCTAAATAATGCAGGTATCAAAGTAATGTTAATATTGGCATATTATTAATAATGCGTTAGTCCTGGGTATGACGATGAACTACATCCGGAAGCAAGACCTTTGACCGGAAGATTGGAGCTTTTGAGGAGCGTGGAACCACCTATTAATTGCTGTCGTTACCAGGTCCATCCCAACTATTGATAGTACACCTGTTAATGTCCCAGCTACAGAGAAATTGTAAACCCCAAAACAGCAAAAAATCTATGAAGTTGGAGAAGTTCATTTTGCTGTGGTTATACAAACATTTTTGTATAGAATACCAAGGATGCGTATTTATAGTAAAATTACCAACAATATTTATCTACAGTACTAGCAAACAGTCAACATGAAAGAACTCTTTCATTTGATTAATCCATATAATATCCTACCATTTCTTAAAGAAACAAATTGTATTCCAAAATTTAACTTCAACAAAACTACAACATAAACACATATATCGCTGACTCTAGGAGTTATGTCCGCACAAATATATATAGTGATTTTCCAAGCGTAACTCAGAGGTGGCACAAGGCCGGAAGTATGGGGCACCCAGTGAGGATCGAACTCACTATTCTGTCGTAATTGTTCTAGCGAGACAAGCTTGCTAACCATTATACCACCTCGAGGCGCCCACGCACAAATATGTATCTGCCCAAAAGCTAAGTATCATCTACCATGTATTCAATTGTGAAAGCAGAATAACATATATAATATTTTTGACTACTTTTTTGAACTGCTCGCAAGAAAATAAAAAAAACAAAAACAGTTCGCATGAAATGACCCATAAAGAGTCGATATACCGTTAAACAAACAAATCAGTCAATCAATAAAATATTTGTGGATAGCATAAGTGTTATTGGCACGAAATATGGAAACGGCGAGCCGAGTTCAGATTCCAGCTTATTCTGCTGCATTTAATTTCACACAAATATCTTTGGGACAAGCATGGGCTCCCCTCTGCGTTCTCCTGTATCGATTGGATAGCACGATAGTTTGGGCTCTCTAGGCACTTAATTTATAATTGTGAAATAAGCCAATAGAAAATAAAAAAAAAACACCTTTTTTTTCAAGAAATGATTACAATTCACTGACAATGAAGAAAAGCAATCGGTAATGGTGGTACGATCACTTACATCTTAATGGGCACAATATGAAAAATATATAAACAACGCTTATAATGTTTTTTTTGTTTTTTTTTTTTGCATTTCCCATAAGCATATGAGCTCTACTGCCACTGAGGAATCGACTGCAGTTCGTTCATCTCATATTTCTTACAATAAGTATAGTCCACACTGGGGGTTCTGTTATTATAGCCTGGTTTGAGACTAAATTGGTTAGCCAATAATCGTGACCTTCACCACAGGACTATATATAGCAATATAGTCTTCAAGTTAACCCTGCATATTTCCTTTCAAGCCAATTATTATTTAACCATTCTCTGTGAACCAATGTCACAATTTTTCTTTGCGTTTATTGTATAATCCAATTCCATACTTACCAACCATTCCACTAGCTTTTTCTCTTCTTACATCTTCAGGAATGATAAAGTCCATATAATAATACTTTATTCGTGACTTGCTCTGATATTTGGCAATGTTTCCTGTATTATTTCTTTTTCGGTGTTTTCGGAAGTGGATGCATATGTGACTATGTTCCGTTCAGCTTTCATTTCAACTCATCCAGAATTCTAACAGTTGCCAGTAACCCCAAAACAATTCGTTTTGTATTTATCTAGCAACAGTCAGACTTCTCTTTCATCTCTTTCTCTCCTGCCTGTGAATACAGAAGAGAGCTCTGACATGGTCGCTTATAAAAATCCATCTATTTTCACTCGCTCCTTGAATGTTAATATTCAGCTGTTCTACCTCCTGTTTTATATTTTCTGTCTTTCAGCATTAATACGTGTTAGTGACCTATGACTCGATTTCATGGCGAGATTCAACAATTGAATAGATGCGTTTGGCGATAGCTGATTACTTGATAAAAAAAAACAAGAGAAATATGCTCGGTCTTATAGCTAACACGGGATTTCAGCACTAAGAAAGGTTAATTCCGAGGTTTTTTGAAAATGATCCAATGTGTTTACATTAAGTCCTACCAGCCATCTCTTTGTAAGCAGACGGATGTTTCCTGGGTTTAAAGGTAACTAACTAGTAAGTGTTATACTTTCTTTCATATATCTTGGGTGTTCACTTTTAGTGGTTAAGCATTTTTTTTGTTCGATCTTTGCTTTGATGTGAGAAGACTGATAAAAATGTTCAGTTTTCTGTTTTGTTAAGCGCATTGTATTTTGATATTATTATTTGACGGCAATTTTTTTTTATTACTCAAGTTTTTTGTTATTATATTTTCTTCTTGTTTCAACTTATTCGTTTTTATCACTCGAATAAAATGTTGTACCTCTACAAAATCTTTCATGGTTCGATTGTTATTTTTTTATCAGACAACACTAAGTGCTGTTGTCATGGCTACTGTTGTTAGTTGGTTTTTATAGGGTGGAATTTATAGCTCTACGCTCAACCGTTTCTTTTTTATTTCAGAGTTGTCCTTCTCCTAGACTGATACAAGGGTCAATCAGACTGGCACGAGGGCCATTAAAAAATGCCGAGGGACCTCAGAAGGAATGATGAGATAACATTATTCAAATAGAATTCGAATAAAACAAAACCCCAATGATTTAATGTAACAAGAAACTTTCCCTCTTTAGGCAAGCTGAAATCGTAAGACTCACTGTAGGTTTTCTGGTGAATGAGAAATCGTTAAAAAAGAAAAGTTCTTGGTCGGACAAAGAAGCACACTCTCGCTCGCTCGCTCGCTCTCTCGCTCTCTCTCTCTCTCTCTCTCTCTCTCTCTCTCTCTCTCTCTCTCACACACACACACACATATATATATATACATATATAAACATTCGATTTCTGATATCCCTGACGAGTGGACAGAGTGACTGCTGGAGGTTCCGTCTACAAAACTCTGGAGTCGGGATGCTGAAGGTAGCACCAATCAGATAAGTGACAAATGTTTGTATTTGTATTGATTCTTTTTCTCTCTCTCTCTCTCTATATATATATATATATATATATATATATATATATATATATAGAGAGAGAGAGAGAGAGGGAGCGTGAAATAGATAGGATATATAAATTTTTGTATCCAATCTATTTACCCATAGCAGGGCAGCCAGAGTCCAAAAGCCTTGGATGGCAACTGGTCTAGTAGAAGGACAACTCTGAATTCAAAACCTGCGGAGGGTCGTTTGGGGAACCTTTTGGCATGTAGTGCACCGGCTCTCTGTATTCGACTCTTCAAAAAGTGTGGTTGGGTCTGCACAAAGCCTTCACCACCATAATAAAATCGTGTGCTGGTGTCAAGCTGTCGGTTCCTAGGAACTGAGCTGCATGACCCTCATACATCGAACACGACGGGAGAGTCTACCATATATATATATATATATATATATTTGGTTGGATAGATGTGAGTTTGTGACCCTGGGTTTCACGCTTTAGCGATCGTCAGACAAACTGATTAATTTTTTTAAAAATTTGGGTTTATGTAGATTGCGTGTATTGGTGTTATTGTGGAAGTGGTGGGGGAAACATCGTTGCTTATGTCATCGTACTAACGCAAACATCGATGTATGCAGACACATATACATACTTGGTCGTCCGTCGGGACTCATACATATATAAACATATGTGGGCAGTTTCGGATATTACAAACTCATATCAATCCAACCAAATATGTTAGCTCCATCTCTGATATTGAGCGCTTTCTAATAAGTACCGCGTATATAATATATAAATAATTATACATATATATATATTTATTTATATTTATATACACTTTTATTATATTTATATACACTTATATTATATTTATATACACTTTTCACATATATATATATATGTGTGTGTGTGTGTGTGTGTGTGTGTGTGTGTGTGTGTGTGTGTGTGTGTAAGATGTATAATATTATCGTAAACAAAATAGATGTTGAGACAAGGTAAAAAAATTATCAATGACGCGTTATGCAGTTTTTGGCTTCCTCAAGTAAAAATAAAAGAAAGACAAAACTGTGAGGAAAGTGCCTTGAGATTTCTGAGGATTTATATATATATATATATATATATATATATATATATATATATATAGTTTATGCAAACTTAGGTAATCCGCATGGGTAGACCCGAGAAGGATGATATCCAGAGAGCTCAATGTAAAATTCAGAGCAGATATGTTTGAATAAAAGACAGACCACGTTAAGATTCCATGTAATAAGCTATTTCAACATAACCCCTTTAACAGGGTTCTGGATCATCAGACTTTACTTCCAAAAGCTGAAATGAAAAATGAAAAGAAATTCACACGTT